CAACAGATGGACCCACCTTTCTTAAGCATCGGTTGGTGTTTTCTTTGCCTGACTTCAGCGAGTTGTGGGCTGAACTGAGCAAGCCAGTTGCTAATTATTTGAAAGAAAGAACCATTGGGTAGCGGGGGAGCGATTCCCGGCGGCTCCATCCTCAAACAAGCATCTAACTTGTCCAGTTCGACTTGATCTGTGGTGTTCTGAGAAATCCTAAATTTATGGTGTTATTCCACACAGTATTGTTTGTTTCAAGGCTTGTGTAAATGCGCGAGCACAAAGGAAGCACACCTTCCAGATAAATAGTGCTCATACCAATATTCTATATAAGGTAGAATAAGGTGGACACGTGACAGGGATATAGGCGCGAACCCCTGTGATTTTTGGAATCACGTGACTAGCAGGATTTCTCTCTAGATGGACTATTAAATCATAGTTCTGTAATTGTTTTAGTTACAGCTGGAAAAAAAAATCTCTGCTTTGAATTGTATTCACGTTCTTCTCATGACAATGTCAGCCGCTTTTAAAAAATCAAATGTATGTATTTATGTACATAAGCCTAACCCTGCTTTTATCTAAAGCCCCTCTCATTGGAAGTCGATTCGTTCAAAAAACTTCGATCCCGAAGCCATATTCTGATGTTATAGAAAGAGAAACTGTTGCTTTTGGCTTGCAAGTAGACTTATTTCTTGCCCAGAGCACCACGTCTCCGAGATGCCAGCCCTCTTGAAGGCAAACATTCTTCGTTTGGCTTCATAGGGGCGCACACACACACACACACATGCATATCCGAGAGCATACATGGACCAGTGCAGAGGTTAATAATAGGAGCAAACTGTTAAGGAAAGCTGCTCACATCTTCCACGATCTGTGGTGATCCAGAAGTAAAGATATTCGCCTCTGTCCTGTAGCAGAAAGTGTCTCTGGTTGTGTTTATCTGTTTTAGGAAGGCTGGAAAAAAAAAAGAGAGAAAAGAAACATTTTAGAATAGAATTTGGCCTGGAGAATGGTTCTAAAAAAACAAAACAAAAAACAAAAAACAGCCTAGTCCGTGGAAGGACCATTCCTTCTATTTCATATACTTAATCTCGTCCTTCATTTTGAGGCCTACTTTATATAAAAGGAGCCCTTCGCTCCCGCTTGTAAAATTCCCCCAAATGATTTGGTCCCCATCTTTATATATATGTATATTTGTACTGAAAAGCAGAATGTAAAAAAAAACAAACCGGGGTGGGGGTTGGAAAATCGGAATGCAACTCTCATTATTTGAGGGGTAGGAATTCAGTAACCAGAGTCAAGAGACGATTCTTACGCGCCCGTCCCTGTTATCCTGGGCATTTAGATCGTCCCCTCTGCCTCCGCGCGCGCCACTTCCGCGGCGGGAGCAGCCTGGAAATGAGGTTTTCTGGCTAGTTGAGAGCAAGTCCAGGCCAAAAATCAAGGAGGTCGGGTGCGTCAAGCTGCAAACAACGAAGCGTGTGGTCTTGGTGGTCTTGGCGGTAAACGTCGGCGAGCTAAAGAACTTCCCAGCCCTGGCATAAAGTAAACCACTTCAAAGACCCCAAAGCCCGTGTCCCAATTCTTCCCTTAGAACTCTCTGCATCCTCCAGGGCCCACCAGAAGCTTCACAGGCGTCGCTCTTTCTTGGGAACGGAAGAAACCCAAACCCAAAGCGAGTCGAGAGTGAAGCTCTTCATCTCCCGGTTTAAAAAAAAATTAAAAAAGCAGCAGCAACAACAACAACAACACTCTCGAAGGCAGGCAGGGCCTCTCCGTTCACACGTGCGCTTGCCGGGTTTAAAACGCGACGGGGCTTCCCTCCGAGCGCCGCCTCACCGTCTTCACTCGAAGCGCACAGGATCCCAGGCATAGGATCCTATACCCCCCCCCCCCCGACAGCCCACCAGTCAGGGCACATTCTTCTGCAGGCGGGCAGCCTAGCGGCGGGGGTCGGTTTCTAAGGCCAGATTCACCTGTGCTATGTTAACGTTAATCACGGTTGTTCTACCCTTGTTGACTTACTACTGTTGAACAGCAGTAAAAGGTTAACGGACAGCTTTGTGTTGGGCACGTGGGATAAGGAGGGTGGTAGGGGTGGTGAAAGAGGACCAGGTTCCTCCAGGGGAGCCGTTCGCGTGGAAAGTACGTGGCTCTGAGTAACTAAACGCAAGGCTCCCTCACGCATTTCCCCCGGTGTGATCCCGAGCAAGCGAGGGCGTTGTTATCGCTACCGACATACCCTTCTCCAGCTTCTCAACCAGACGGAGCGTTCCCCCCTTTTGAATTACACACCACTTCCTACTATTTGTCTGCCCGTTCCCAGGGTTGCCTCGAGAAACCGTCCTCTTCGGAGGATTCGGTCTGTTATATACCCAGTGACACTTACTTCCAAGTGAACACGCGTGGCATCCCGCTTCAGGGTTGCAATCCTCAGCACGGCCACTTGGGAATAAGTCCCCCTCCCCGGCCGCTTTTTTTTTTTTTTCCCCCCCCCCCCCCCGCGTATAGCATAAAAAAAAAGCAGGGCTGTCATTGTCTTTATTGCTCGGTGCACAACCCATGCCGGTGCGTTTCCCTCTTCCCTCCCTCCCACCCACACGCAACCCCCCTCCACTCACTCATTCCTTAGGAACCGACAGGATAGGGTTTCGGTGCACGCGCGCGCCAGTTCAAGCGCACCCCCCCCCCCGCTGCACGAGCCGCGATCCCTCTAAGTTTGTCAATGAATCCTCCTTCCCCGCTCGCGGGCTCCGCCTGCCGCCCTTCCTGATTGCTCCGCCGCTGGCTAATCAGGGGCCGCCTCCTCCGCTCGCCCTCTCCCCGGTCTTCCCCAAGCCCCGCAGCCAATGCGCGCGGGCTCGTAACTTTACTTTTCTGATTGGAAGCCCGAGCACTGAGTGACGGGTCAGCCCGGAGGCAAAACGGTCGGCCGGCTGGCCGGCCGCGGCTCTCCTCTCCGCCGGCCTTCCTGTTCCATCCCGGGGCCTAAAGGAAACCGCACAACCCCACCCCCCCCGCCGCCACTCCCGCAGCCGCTGTCCACACGCCGCCGGTCCTGAAAGCCGTTTCCCGGCGAGCGCCTTTCTCCTCTGGGAAGAAGGCGCCTTAGGCTGACCCACCGCGGACGGCGACGGCGGCCGAGGCGCGAGGGAACCAAAAGGAGCCCCCCGCTTCTCCCCCCCCCCCCCCGGCCCCGGGGGGGGAAGGGGGGGGGGGGGGGGGGGGGGGGGGGGGAAGGTTAATTTGGCGCCACCTCCCTCACGCGTTAGCCGGCCAGGTGGAGGCAGATGCGCACACGCACGCACGCACGCACATACCCACACCCACACATAGAGACCACTCGGAGCCGGCCGGTTCTACCTGCTCCCCTCTTTTCCGCAGCCGGGCTGAGGGAAGCGGACCCTCCGCGAGGCGAGGTCGGGGCGCGCAGGCGCACGCGCGCGCGCGCTGCTGGGGCAGCGGGGGGGGGGGAGCGCAGCCCTGGCTGCCTGAGGAGGGAGGGAGGGAGAGAGAGAGAGAGAGAGAGGGGCAAACTTTAAGCGCGAGCGGAAAGGCGCGTGAGGTAGAAAGCGTGGCGCGCGCCACAAGCAAAACACGCCTCTCTCCCTCCTTCGCGCTCTTCTCTCTCGCGCGGCGGGGATGCCGCTGGCACGCTTGTGCTGCTGCTGCCGCCGCCGCCGCCGCCGCCGCTGCTTCCTCCTCGTCTCCTTTGGCGTCTCTCCAAGCGCAACTTCCCGCCAACTTCTTCTGCCACCCGACTTCTAGCAAACGGAGCGGAGGTGGCGGAGCCAAACGGACTTTGCCTCCCTTTCTTCTTCCTCCTCTTCTTCTTCTTCCAGACTTGGGACCCCCCTCCGGGTCGGGAGGCGGTTACCCCACAGCCCGCCTCCACTCCGGGAAAGCAGCCCGTCTCTTCGACTCTCTTCTGAGGCTCGGCCTCAGCTGATCGCCTCCCTCCGGTCGGGACTGCAAGCCGGGCAAAGAAAAAGAGACTGCGAAAGAGGAGAAAAGGAGGAGTGTATGTGTGTGTGTGTGTGTGGTGGGGGGCAGCCGCACATGCCCGGCAAACCACCGCCGCTCCTCAAACAAAGACTGACCCAGGGCACCTTCCTCGTCCCCCTAGCTAGCCTTGCCTTCGCCGGAGACGCCGCTCTGATTATCTTCCGAAAGCAAGAAAAAAAGAAGGGAAAAAAGAAAGATGGGTGGATGGATGGATGAATGCTGAAAAGTGACACCTCTCTCCCCCCCCCCAAACACCCACCCACCCACCCACCCACCTGCAACACCCGGGATAAAGCTTGGCAATAGCTGCTTGGCAGGTGCTCGGTCCCTGCCTGCCTTCTCTTGCTTCGCCGTGGAAGATTTCCTTTGGCTGGGCCCTTCCCGGGGAGGGTGTCTTCCCTCCGACCGCAAGAACGGATCCATGGCCCTCTCCTTCTGGAGGCGGGGGAAATAAAGGCGCCGCTGCTCGTCCCCAGGCAGAGAAACTAACCGGAGACAACCTTTTGCGGTGGGAGACTGTCCACCTCGGAAGGGGGAAAGGGGGGGGAGGGAAGGGACGACGAAGACGACGACGAAGATTCAAGCAATCCAGCCTCGCCGGTGGCGTCCGGAGAACCCGAGTCCCCCCCCCTCAAGCCCCTTCCGTATGAAAGGAATAACTTCCCCGAGGATTTCTGTGGTTCTTTGGCTCTTGTGCTTGGAGAGAGAGATCTTGTCTCTGAAGTCCCGGCGTGTCTTTCGGGCTTTTCTTTTTTCTTTTTTAAATTATTATTATTACTATTAATATTATTATTATTATTGTGCGTTTATTTTTTTTTTAAAGAAACAACATTATTGCAAGCAACACTTGTAAATAAAGCGCTCAATCCCCCGGGCAACACAAAAGTGGTGCTAAGGAGTGTAACTTAAGCTGCTCTGAAAGCGAAAACAATTTTTTTTTTTCCATCCACACCTTCCCGTCCCCCGGCTCAGCTTGCCTCGAGCAGCCTGGATCGCCAGCCCAGATGGAGATACACTGTAAGCACGACCCGTTTGCAGCGATGCATAGTAAGTAGAGGCGGCTGGTTCCGTGGTTTTTTCCCCCTCTCTCTCTCTCTCTCTCTCTCTCTCTGGCTTTCTGCACCAAGCTGCCGCCGTGTCTTAGCCGCGCTCCCCCCCCCCCGCCCCAGCAGCCCAGAGTGTTTGTTTATTGAAGTGGGAGGGAGAGAGAGAAAGAGAGAGGGAGGGAGGGAGGAAGGAAGAGAGGGAGGAGGGAAGGCTGCTGGAGCTGAGACACTTTTGGGCATCGCTGGAGAGAAGCACAGCGGCATCGGATCGGCTTCTCCGAGCTAGCTCAGGAGGTTGGAGCCGGCCGCGCTGGCAGTTGGCAACCTCCTCCAACTACGGCTTTTTATTCCCCTGGCGATTTCGAAGGAGTTTAAAACCAACCCCAAGCAAAAAGAAACTAAACCTAAAACGGCCCCGCTCGCTCCCTTCCCGTGCAAACCACGATACACCTTTAAGCTAATGCAACGTTATTATTGAGGACGCGATCCGGTTGAAGGGAGACCATTGCGAAGCTCTCCGTTGATTTCCATGGGAGGGTTTGAACTAAACGTGCGCTGTAACTCCTTCTCCACCCATCTGGGGCTCTTCGACCAAAGTGGGTTTACACTGATTTAATTTTTAAAGAACTCATTCGCGGGTTCTAGGACCTGGCGGCCTTAAAAATATCTCCAGCCCAATTATTATTAGAGCAAGAAGAGAGACCCCGGACAAGAGCAAAAAAGGGATCCAGTTATGTTGCAGGCGCTTCTCACTTAAAAGTGTCGGCGCGTAAGTCGCACCGATTTCAAATGGACCTACATTTATACAGCTGCCTACTTAGTACTTCCCTATATCCTCTGCATTTTCTTTCTCTTCTCATTCAATAGATTTTATTTCTCTTCCATATATTTTGATTCTGTCTACCCGTTGCAGCTCTTTGGCTTTCGCTCTCTTACAAAGTTCAAGTCGCCCAACTGGAATATATATTATGTGTGTGTGTGTATTAGTGTGTGTGTCTATACACACACACACACATATTCCAACTGGGCGACTTGAACTTTGTAAGAGAGCGGAAGAGTGTGTGTGTATATATATATAAAATGGAAAAAATATTTGAAATTAATGCTAGTAGATAGGATTACCACAGTCCAGCTGAGTTGAATGCCCTTCTAAGGAATCTCTGAAATAATCCTGAATGTATATGAAGCCCTTAAACCAAAAAGTGTGTAATCTGTTGATGTTTCCTGCGCGTGGGCTCTCAAACGATGAGAAGAGCTGAAGCTGCTTCTTCACCTTCTCACAGCAACAACAAATTAGTCGTAATGGCGTGTTTAAAAATAGCCTTATATGTTTGGACTCGGCTGTTTTAAGTTAGCAGCCATGGATAATATATTTGCTTGGGATTTGCTGTGCCTGAGAGGGCTGGAGGAGATTTTTCATTAACACAGGGTTATGAGAAATGACATCGTTTCTCACGGTGAGTTAAATGCTGGATTAGATCCAGAGATTTCAAGGAAACCTAGGAGAGAACCAAACACATTTCTCTTGCGTGCAGCAGGCTTTTAAGGAAGACAAGTGTTCTTTTGTGTTATCTATTTATCTACCTAATCGTTTGCTCTACGAAACCATTTCATGCTTCCCCATTGGGTACACAAGAGTAAGCACAAGATAGAGAACTCGGATGTGAAACTGTTGGCGAGTATATACCGTTCCACCTTCATAGGAAAGGTACTATTTGGGTGGCACTATCCCAATTTGAAATTTGTAGGAAATGCTTATCCGAAGCCAAACAGAACCAAAAAGGATTTGGGGATTTTATGAGAGGCATCTAACGGCAGGGAAACAACATTTCCATATTTAAATTATGGGGGCAGAAATGTTCCTACTGCCTGCCGTTCCCTCCCCCCTCTGGAAATTCCTTTGTTAATTTGAAGAGAGGCTGAGTGAGGAAGCTGCGGGAAAGGATCCTCCATTAACCCAAACAATGATAAATCGGTATCTTCTGCAGGAATGTAAGGACAACAAAAACAAACCGGTACAAGTGTACTGTCAATTGGGGTGGGGGGGGAGATGGGGAAAGAGCATCCAATCCAAACTGAGTTTTATACTTCTCTCTCTCTCCCCCCTCCCTGACCCCAATGCATTGGTGGTAGTTATTTAAATATCTTCTCTCTCTCTCTCTCTCTCCCTCCCTCCTTCCCTCCCCCCCTCTCTCCCCCCACTCCCTCCCTCCCTCTGGGGGTAGGGGAGAAATAGCAAGTTGTTTTTCCAAAAGTGGAAGGTAGAGGATGAAAACGTGGCATGTAGTCATGTACTGTACAGCATTGCACACGTTGCATTGCTTGTCAGAAAACACTTAAAAATAAACGGGAGGCGCTGAAACTTGTCTGCAACGCCCTAGACAAACTAACCCCTTCTCTAAAGGAAATAATTTACCGCAGAAAAGGCTGACTTTAAAAACCCAGCGTGGTGGTCGTCTTTAAAGGGTTGCCTTTCCTTTCGCCTGTCTCCTAAATAATTCCCTCGAAGCGAAGGGATCTTTTGACCTGGGCCTTTTAAACAAGGGCTTGTGAACAAACTGCTTGTAAAGAAAACACGCCACACGCCCGCTTTAAAAGTCACGCGCAAAAGCAATCTTTTGCAATCTTCGGGGTCGTGGTGGTTGGGGTCTCGTTCTCGGTCCGAGTTAAAGCCGAGGCAACCGCGGCACGCGTTCGATCTTGCAGAGAAAACAAACCTACGTTTTTCTTATTCTTATCAAAAGCATCAGAACATCAGGTCTGGATAAATGTTCCATTTTAGGAGCATCTTGTCCACAGAAGAAGAATCTTAGGCGAGCTTCCTGGGGCGTCCATCCGCTGTCCGTTTCCCCCAGTATGAATCTTTTCGGCACAATGCCTTGCCTAGATTTGCTCTAGGAAGAAAGCCGTGTTTTGGACAACGGACTCACTTGAAGAATTAGCTGGAACTGACGTGTCCCCATCCCCCCCCCACCTTTTAGCAGGGTAGAGTTAGGTGGTTATCAGTAATGCGGAAGAGAAGTCTTAAACCATTTTTAACAGACTCCAAGATCCTCCTCCTTCATCAGTTAAGGCCAGTTTTCTCTCGTGGCTAGTTCTTTCACCAACTTTTATTCTTTTGAGCACACCGTTTTCTGATGTGCTGACAATTTGTTTGTGAAAAGGCATACTTGGGGAAAAAAAATCAGATTGAGACAAGATTGACTTACCTTGTGATGGTTTGCTCAAAATGGGAAGAGTTGTTGAGTTTCCAAACCAGACTCTCAGTTACATCCATATTGACCACCTTTGAGCTGTCAGATTTCAGCAAGAAACATAAATTCTGCTCACCTATCAAATATTTGTGTTTTGAGAAAACCGAAATGCATAGAGAAATTGAAAAGTATTTGGCATTTTATTGTAGAGGGATCAAGCTGTTCGTTTGCTATTATCTTGTGCTGAGTCAGCTGAACTTTATAACAGCAGGAAAGTCTTGAGGATGAACTTCAGATAATACTCTGCAGGTGATCAAAATGTCTAAAAATTTCCTCACTAAACTGGACTAGGCAGGCAGAAGAGTATTAAGGTGTCAGAAGAATACGTATGTATGTTCGTTTTTTCACTCATTCACAAACATGCATTCCAGTTGTTATTCACACTTCAAGAGGAGCACCAGCATTTATATATGTATATTCAAGCAATTTAAGGCTCAAAGATTAACTGGCCTCTTTAATGCCTCTGCAGAGGTCTTGTCTTGGGGTTTGGAGATTATTTAGATAACAATTTAATGACCCAAAGATGCATAAGTTACAAACATTAATTTTAGAGAGAACTGTCTATATTTGTCCAACACAAATTGCTGTCCACCACCAGCATGTTACCTAACACCCTGGAAAAAAAATATTACACACACACACACACACATGGCACACTGCAGCACTTGTGCAATGCACATGCCCCACAGATTCTTCTGTGGAAATATTTGGAGTAACTAATTATTTTCTGAAAATTTGCAAGGATTCAAGCTAATTTTCTCTCTAGGACAAATCAGTTGTTCATAGAAGTGAAACTATTTTCATTGTATGCAATTAAACTGGACTGGATTATCTTGCATGTTGAAATATAAACTATATGCCCCCCCATCTCATATGCTTCTAGCCTTCTTTCTTATGTGCTGGGCTATTTCCTTAAAAGCAAGGAAGCTTTGGCCTGTTAAATCTTTCTTCTCACTCCCTGTGTTACTTTTAAATACTGAAGACATCTACTGCTAAGAGAGAATTTATGTGTGATAATAGAAAAAGATTACAGGGAAAACTCCCACTGATGATGGGAGTTTCTTTTTATTGGAACTAGTAATTCCCTTGCCATTCCAAATACTTATCCAGCAAAAAGATGAGCAGGGTAAATCTGGAGCTCACAATCACATAAATTCTGGAAGGGCATATATACTTTTTTTTTACCACTACTTGCATTTTTACCATTTAATATCAGCGCAACTGCAGATTCAGCCCACAGGAGAAAATAGAGGAAGCTCTATTTTTGTATTGTTTTATTTCCTTGGCATTCTTTTCTGCTCTCTTTAGAGTGACTTCCTTCCTTCCTTCCATCCTTCTGTCCTCCCTCCCTCCCTCCCTTGATTATTGGAACCTGACTAAGTTTGGGAAGGTAGAGCAACAATCTTTCTGATATACACACACCACACACATCAAGTATGTATGAATGTCAGCTTTTTTAGACTTGGTCATTAATTTGGCTATCACTTGTGCTCTTTAGTTTATTTTCTTATTTTTCCATAAAGATAAAAGTTAATATATGCAATTCTGGAAATGCGATTTTTACATTTGCTTCTGCAAATCACAGCATAGAGCCTTGCGGATTTATTCAGCTAGGCTACAGTTCTGTACAATATGTTAAACTGCTTAAACCCCACAAATACTGGCTGAGTTTTAAGCAGTACAGCAGCTGTTTGCTGTCTTTTATTAACAGATCTGACTGAAATTGTGTATAGGAACTGCAATTATTGTAGAATTAAAGCATTTCCTAGCTTTAATGGAAGTTCTAACTCAAGATATAATGGATTTTCTCTCTGTTTTTATACTTCTCTCTTTCTCTCCCTCTCCCTCCACTTCCTATTCTATTTAACCTTATGTTTAAATATACTGTATTTTGATACATTGAAGCAATAATACAATGTATTATTGGCTGCAAACCTATTAGCTTTAGAAAACTACAGTGTGTACTTTCTTGCTTTGTTCAACTAGTTTTGACTCAGTTTCAATAACTTTAGGTTGATTCCCTTGACAGCAAACTGTTTCATCGAAGAAACTTACGCACACTTCCAGATCAGAGTAATATACAGTCCACATTAACTGACAAATTAAATTTATTTCTAAATTGCTGCAATTCTAATTGGGGTTGTAAATCTATAAAGGTTATATTTATAGATTGCATTTTTATGAGCTGAAATTTGCTATCCCTTTGCAAAGACCTTGTAATTTTAAGGGATTTTTAAAACTGTGCATTTAAGACACTGAACAATAATTCTCTTAATATCAGAGTCATGATTAATGATAATAAAACAGCACCTGAACATTCTATTCTTTTGACAATCTGCTAAAGTATACTTTTAATTTTGGTTTACCTATTCTTTCCTTCTTTCCTTGGACAATGTTCTAAAGATCAAATAAAATATTAGTAATTCAAACAAAACAGTAAATATAAAACTTGCTAAACTTCAGGTCTTGGGGCAAAACACAATTTTTCAGTTAATCTTGCTTATTCAAATTAATCTTTAACAAGTAATAATGGACTTTCACTATATATTAGTTTTGGAAGATATATACAGACCCTGTCAGGTTTATCAATAGTAACATTGTTGGGCTTAATAAACATGGATGATATAGTTAGCTAGATTTTTATTTAATGCAGAGTTAGTAGATTGTGTTCAGTTCAAGCCTTCTGTAAATAGAGAAATTACTTTATTCAATATTGCCAATAATGTTGGCTCTTGCAATTATTTGTGTTCAACATTGCTACTTCTTTATCATAGTTTGTCTGATGAACAAATTTAGAGTTAATTATATTTTCTCACTATTCCATGGCACTGTATTTCATGCTTATTGGTTTTATCCAGTTAGCTACTATTTATCTAGTTGGAAACCACTTTATATCAGATGTTTCAACTTATTAAAAAAATAGTGAAAATGTACATATAGGGAAAAAATAATCCTGTCTTGCTCAGCCACACACTATAGTGCCTTAATATTTTCATAGGCATTGTAAAACATGTAAATCTGAAGTTATTTCACACAGAGAGACATTTATATAAGGCATTAATAACTGAGCTATGATATTGAAAGAAAAACAGATTACTTTTGGAAGTCTCATCAATGGAGCCACCTTTCTAAATTTGGCCCTATTTCCTCCAGAGATGACCATGGCTTGGCTTTATTTACCATCAAAGTTAGACCGACACATTTACTGTAAACATATTTACATGTAAGTAAATCTGATTGAATTTAATGGTATTAAAACAAGCATGCTAAGAATTTTAGCTTCAGATTTACACCTTAAATTTGATAGCTATCATTCGTAATTTTTTGGTGCCAGATGAGTTGCGGGCTGGCCTAAAAATAACTTTTGAGAGATTTATTTTTCCAAATTGGAGGCCTGAATCTCATGCCACATAATCCTGGATAATTATTGAAGTAATTAGAGTTACACAAGTGTAAAATTGCTATCAGTGTCAAATTAGGTTTTAGTAAATAACATTGTTCATCGTCCTCTGAGCAAATAAACCATAACCAGCATTTCAGAAATGCCCAAACTCTTATGAAGAAGTTATTCAGTGCTTAATGGTAGATGGGAAGCCATAGCTGCAGGAAGCCTTTTAAAGCATTTTCTAAACAGTCACAAAGATGTATTTTTTTCTCTGCTTGTTTTTTGTTTATTTCCCCCCATATCTTTCAGGACATGGAGGAGTGAATCAATTAGGGGGTGTTTTTGTGAATGGTCGGCCGCTGCCTGACGTTGTTCGCCAAAGGATTGTGGAACTAGCCCATCAAGGTGTCCGACCTTGCGACATCTCCAGGCAATTGCGAGTCAGCCATGGCTGCGTCAGCAAAATTCTTGGCAGGTAAAAGCAGATCAAAGTGAATCAGACCAATTCTAAAAAGAATAATAATAATGCATGCTGTTTGTGTGTTGGAGTTATTCTAAGAAGCAGTTCAGCTAGCAGAAAGGTGACTAAGACAATAATAAGAATAGTTGAAGAATGTGGCTGGAAAACGCTTTATAGTTATATTCTTGATTACGGTAACATGTATCATAAGCTTCCTACTGAACCTCTGAACTCACCTGAAAAATGGCAGGAAATTACTGCTAAGTGAAAGGAAATTTGTTTTCCTTCTGCAATCCAATCCATGCTAATTTAGCAATAATTCTACTGGCCTCTTTGAGACTACTTTCAAGTAAATGAACTGAAGTCCATGAACTTCTGGCTTTAATATTTAAATGTACATTTGACTGAGGTTTCAAACTGCAGTACAAATCATTTTCTTGGTTATAAGTCTTACCGATCAAAACAATTGTGAGAAGTCAAGCCCTGGTTTTGCCTATTAAATGGATAGTTTAGAATTCCTTTTTGTAATTATATATATATATAAATGAATATTTTATTTTGCAATGGAATGAAATTGGAAATAAGGACAAATTGCATATACAAATAATGCAATAGTATTAATGATACTTCAATTTTGTTGTTCTAATCTAAGCAATGCAACAACATAACATTTATTTTAAAAAAGCAAAGAGAACAATTTCCAATAATATAAATGTAGATTGAGAAATGGTATGTCTGAGACAGCATCATGATTTTGAACATCAATATAATGCTTCAATGAGTTTTTTCTTGATTTAATAAGGTTGGACATACACATTAAATTTGTATAAGGGAAAAATAAATTAGAACTAATTAGTTAATTGTTCTCACCAAAGGTAGTTTGTAGATGTACCACACTGATTTCCATTACATTAGCAATATTTTTGCCTAAATAAAAATCTTTCGTCCTAAAATTTGTCAGTGTTTTAGGTATTATGGATATCGATGTATTGTTTCCCCTCACCTGAATAGATAAGTTTTTACATTTGCAAAAGTTAGAAAAAGTCAATGTTTGATCATCTATGTAATAATCTTGCCTGAATCAACTTGAAACAATGACAAAAATGAACATAATAGATTTTATTAAATTTTATTATATATGTACAAGACAAAACTGTTATTTTTTAATATACTTTCCCCACATGACATTTTTTAAATCACTTCTATCACTTCTTCTTTACTAGCTAGCCATAGTACACAGGTGTGAAGGTCTGGACCTAGTACTGAAAACCAAAAGTACAATTTCTAATGAACTCGAGCAGAACTTTTATTTTAAATACTTTGCTAAAATTATAATCCATTAAAAATGTATTCTTTAATCTTATTCTTTAATTGTGGGAGCAAAGCTTTCCCACTGATATTAAAGCATGATGTTTAACACATTAAATATAGCTATGAATCTGATTTATCTCTATACTTTGTGTTGACTGTCAATCAACAGAAGATATACAGAAGGTCAATAAATATAAAAAAATGGATCTTTTTTCTTTGCAATTATTTGATATAAGTATAAATCAGAGAATGAAATACAGTTGGTTTAGGTTTATATACAGAGAAATATAACTTCATATGTGCAGGTGTGGGTGTATTCTAATATTGAATTCCAAAAGATAATTTATTCTGGAAATATTCTTCTGATTTTAGCAGGACTGCTTTTCGATAAATAGCCTTAAGACTGAAGTGTTAAAAGTTGTAATGCAATGTATATTTCTTAAAAAAGGCAAGCTGGTAAATACAAGGAAAATATAAGTCAGCACTAATATACAATTATACGTTTTCATATATTTTATTTTTTATATTAGACCAGAACATTAATATTTCTGGAATGTTAAGTCCTATTTCTTAATGGCAGCAGTTGGTTTTGTGGTATCCTGTTTTATTTTTCCTTCTTCAATTCTCTCGGAAGGCTAAATAATCATTTTTATTAGTATCAATGACTGAAACAAATAAACAGGTCAGAAAGAACATGTAATTGTTTTAACGTTTCAGAATGGATTTGTCTTTAGAGGTATTTGCACTATTATGGAATTAAGAATCAAGTTCTGGAGCTTTGTCACTTAAGTTGTCAACAATAAATTGAAATTTCATAGCTCATTATTTTCATAAGTAATAATTACAATTCATAAAATGTCAGTGTAATTGGAGAACACTCTTTCTTTCTCTCTGTGTGCATCTTAAATAAAAAAAGAGAAGCCAGTTATATATGAAGTTTCATTCCATCTTGGGAACCAGTGTTTCTTAATTTACAACTTTTAAGTTCAACCATGGGGCAAAAGTAATAGTTGGAAATATAACTATATAACAATAATTTGATAGGAGTTATGAATCTGTGGCCAATAGTGCTTGAGAATATTATTACTGAAGGTATGTGTAAATGGACAGCATGATGAATTCCAGAAATAACCACAACCTGAATGTGAATCTTTTCCTGTCAATCCAGGATTGGAAAGATATAGCTTTCTTCAACTGTATATTAATTTGTAAAATAATTCAGTTTGTATTGTTGTGTTTGGTCATGACACAAAGTAAATATTAGTCATTACTTTCTCCAGGGAAAAACTGGGGTGATAACATTAGGATAAAAAAATCAAATCCTCAGACGTAGTATCACCATAACAGAATGGGGAAAGGTCTGGGGTAGAAATAATAAAATTACAAAATCGGTAGCATACAAAGAAAATGCCTATAAAATGTTTTATAGATGGCACCTTCCTCCTTCGAGATTAGCGAAGATGCACCCCAATATGAGTCTGAATTGCTGGAAATTAAAAAAAAACAACAGGGAACTTTCTTCCATATGTGGTGGTCCTGTACAGAAGCTCAAAATATTGGCAGAAAATTAGAAATTGGCTGGAGGAAATAACAAGAGAACAGATCGAATTCAAACCAGAGTCCTTTCTATTAGGGATCTTTGATAAACAAATACCAAAAAAAGTGAAATATATAACAATACATATTTTGACAGTGGCCAGATTGGCTTTTGCACAATGTTGGAAACAGCCTCATGTTCCATCAGAGGAGATGATTATTCAAAAAATTTCAAGTTGTGCAGAAATAGACATATTAACCTTGGCATTAAAAAATAAAGACAGTTCAATATACTACAACAGCTGGAACTGCTGGTACAAATGGATAGACCAAAGATAGATTTCGCACTAAAAGGCAAAAGAGGATAGGATAGAACCATAGTAGTGATATACAGATATATGTAAGAAATAAGTGTGTATATGCCATAAAATAAGGATAAAAAGGAGGTCTCACAAACTGTTGAAGATGAAAATGTTTTTAATTGTTTTCTATCTTTTTTTTTCTATTTTCTTCTTCCTTTCTTTTCTTTTTCTCTCTTACATTTATGTATGTGTTGTTGGTCTGTTTTAATTGTAAAATCAATAAAATTTATTTAAAAAAAAATCAAATCCCAATGATCATTTACTTAACTTTTTTTTTTAATGCAAGGCATTTTTTACTGACTGATCTCAAATCGGGTCCAAACTGTCTTTCTTTCAGTAGTGTAACAGCACTGGTTAATGCTTTAAATAGGGCCTATTGAGCTCATTAAAGCAGCCGATTTAAGGGTAAATGTCAAGTATCACAAAGAGGGCCAACTGTTATTAATCTGCTATTATTGTATTTTTACTGGTTGTATTGGGGAGAGATGTTTTCTACCTCATACTGACAGTGCAATTTGACTGACTTTGGATATGATATACTTTGTTTTCCTGCATGGGTGATGCTACTTGCCGTATCCCCAGGCAACAAAATGTCAGACCAGTTAAAATGCATTACGTCTCTGGTTTAACACACTATGCCACACTTTCTTTTAGCCAGCCATTTTTCTCATATTTAGCACCCCAACAGTAAGAATATAATTTAATAATTCTGAGGTGCTTTAAAAAGTAATGTCTAATCATTCTAAAATGGTACCTAGTTCTTAAATATTGGTATCAACTGCTTCCAGAATTTTCATAGTGAAAATTGAGATGCAACAATAAGTTATTAATCAGCAAAGCCTAGGTCAGGAAATTAAGCATTATATACTGCAAAAGTTCCATTTCATAAATCGGGAGTGACATGAAAAATGCCTGCATTAAATCTGATTGATTTCTATTGGGTTTGAAGAGAATACATTGGTTTAAAATGAACTTTTTTTAGTTTAACTAGATTAAAGTCAGATAATGTGATCAAAGCAGGAAAATTATTCTGTAAAGCATCTAAATGTTCTTATTTCTTATTCAAGCACTGCCTTGAGTCTCTTGACAATTGAGTGGCTCTAAAAATTGATTAATTGAATTAATAAATGAATAATTGTTGCTAGGTATAAACACATTGTTAATTATTGTGTGATAATTATTGCATATACAAGAAAGTCACAATTAAATTTTGACCAGAGGGGTTATTTTATTTTATTTATTATTCTATTTCTGTACCATCCTTCCTGCCAGAGGATCTCAGCGCAATTCACAAAAATATCATGCAAACGGGGTTAAATGAATCCATCATAATAAAACCCACAATACTGGTTTAATTATGAGATTTTGAAACCATTTAATCTTGTGATTCTTGGCAATTTACAGAAATAAAAATATCCATACCATAATAATATAAACTAAAATAATAAAAGCATAAAAATTGATTTAAATTAAAACAGTTTTTGAATTACACTTAACATTTTAATGAAGCAATTTTAATTAATCATTTGAAAGCCCTCTGGAGGAGAGCCATTTTTACCAACTTTTGGAAGACTAACAAAAGGTTGGCAGGTCAAATCTCCTATTTCAGAAAACAGGAGCCTTCAATGGAAAAGTGTTTTTTCTAACAATAAATACAATAAATAAAGTTAATTAAGAAAAGCAAAGTAGTAGTTAACCCAGAAGAAGACCGGCTCTCAATAAGTTGTCACCCAGGAATGTAAAGGTGAAAAAGAGTCACTAGATTCATTTTCTGGAAGAAGATAGAACAAAGATAATCTGAGCAGAATTTGGGAGAAAATTCCATAATTGGGGCTCTGCCACTCAGAATGCAAAGGTTTAAACATAATTTTCATCAATAAACAGCTTGTGCAAACTGAAACTGAACAGCAGGCCACTTCTTTAAAAAGCTAGCAGGCATACTGGATGGGAATGTTTCCTTTGGATTCTGCACAAACCTTACAGTTTTTGGATAATTGTTCCCAAAAAGATGAGCTCCAGATATATCAGATTTCAACCACACAATTCCCAGTGTGTAGGCCAAACTGAATGGGGATTAAATAAAATTTATTTGCAGGGAACCACTCAGGAAAGACTGCAGTTGAATTTAACTTCAGTATCCTGCTTAACAATTTATTAGGTCCGAAATAAAGACTACCCCCCCCAAAAGGGATTCATCTCTAATAATAAATACAGAAATGCATTAACAAAGTGCATACAGAAGTTCAGTCACCACAAGGTAATCTTGGACTTACAATAGTTCATTTAATGACTGTTCAAATTTACAACGGCTTTGAAAAAAATGGGACCGTTGGAGTACCCCATGGTCACTACGTTCATGCATTCTTTTCATGATGCTATTTTAACATTTTATGCCTCTGTCATGTCTTTGACAATTTCCTATAAATACGGCAGTGTCAAAATACTGCTTTGATTTAATTTTGTTACAGATTAATAATACAGATTTTGAGATAATTTTAAATTCAAGCATGACATATTAACTTATTTTTTTGCTGGCAAAAAAACAATGCAACATCATTGCAGTTACCCCCCCTTAAATTATATTTGTCAAATCTAAGAAAAGAAATGAATGTATTATTAATATCAGTGATGCAATACAGTAAAGATATGTTAATATATTGCTATTGAAAAATGTGAGAACCTAATTTGTGCCATTCTTAAATTCTTATCCTTTATTGGAGGTGGGAGGTGGGCTTAAAATGCATTAAAATGCTGTCTAAACCTAAACTTTCCTTTTCTGCCTTTCACCCTCTAGGTATTATGAGACTGGAAGCATTAAGCCTGGAGTTATTGGAGGTTCAAAGCCAAAGGTTGCCACACCCAAAGTAGTAGAAAAAATTGCAGAATATAAACGCCAAAATCCCACCATGTTTGCTTGGGAGATCAGGGACAGACTTTTAGCAGAAAGAGTGTGCGATAATGACACAGTGCCCAGCGTTAGTTCAATTAACAGGTAAGCTTCTTTTAGACTGCATAGTAGGGATGCTTTTGGCAGTGTTTGTTATTATCTGAAAATGACACAGGATTATTTTGGCTATTTCCATGGCTGTTTTTTCCCCCCCAGATGCAAAATCCATATGTACCAGTCAGTTTAGTTTTCATCTAAGTTTGCTTCACTGAGCCAAATAGAAACAATCTCTAGTATGGGTTGGTAGAAATAATATACACTTATACGCACATATATAAGATTAACAAAAGTATTTCTCCTAGATTCCAGATTTGGTTTTTTTTTGGGGTGCTCCTATACACTGACACATTGACATTTGAATTTTCAGGAGAAGATGGCAGTATTAATTTGTCATATAATGAAATTTGTTCAAAATTAGGACAATTAAGAAATGAGCAACAAATAAGCTAGGCTAGGGGAAAGATCAGATATTGTAGATTTTCCTGTATATTTATTACCACTGTATTGAAAGAAACTCAATAGTTTATCTGACAATTCAAACAAAAGTGGAGAATCTAGGCTGGAACTGGTAGGTTCAATTTCTTGACTGGTGTAATGAATCTATGAAGCTTATTATTATTTAGCTAGCATATGATGAGTACATGACAGAATCTATCAGATTTTAGGTCAATTTTGCTAAATAGTTCACAATTCTAATATAAAACATGCTGTAAAAATAGAACTTTGAATTTTGGAGGTTTGATGATTTGAACTTCTATGGTGCCCAAAACAGTTATGCTTACAAATATGTATACTTCTTGCTTTTTCAGGGAGAATTAGTCATTGATTTTATTATGTATTTATTAAACAAATTTATATAGCCACCCAACTTACACGTAAGTGGCTTACAACATTAAAATACCCATCCTATCATACTAGTGCCTACAATAGGAATTCATCACATCCCAGATACATGTTTCATAAGAGTTAAAATATCATTTGGATATGATTCATCCACTATCTATTTATCTATTAATAGTTAATTCTATTTAAATTCACATTTTGATCAAAAGTAGATTACTGCAAATTTGTTATCTGGTGTGCTTGTTATATTAATTACTGAAGCATTAACACCATTAAGCAAAGTGTTCTATACCAGTATTAAGATTTGCAGCACAATTCAAGTTTGAATTCCCATTCTGATAGGAATTCAAGATAGTTTTGCTAGCCTTTATTCCGATTTGATAGTACATCTCAAAATTTCCTGAGATATTGTAGGTAGTTCTGAGTTGTTATAAAGTCAAACTTACTTATATATTCAATTATATGTATTTGTTCAATTTATATCCATCTCCAAGAAGTGATTCTGGGTGACTAACAACATTTTTAAAAAAAGCAAAATGAAAACAGAAGCTACAAAATAAATAGACAACTGGCAGCTGAGATTTTTTTTCTTAAAAAAATATCAATACAGATATAATACAAACATTTCAACAAATCTAATTTATAGACTCCAACCCTAAATCCAGGAACACAGAACCTTGCAAAAGGAAAACATATAATAAGTATAATAGAAATTTCTCTGTTTATCCTGGTTGCTTTTATTATGACCAGAAGTAAAACCTTAATATGATTCCAAAGAATCTTTTAAATAGTTCATCATGCAGACTTTTTAGGCATGTTCTCTGAGGTTTGCTGCTTCTGAGAATATATTTGATTTAAAATTAAATAAAATTGTTTGGTAAATCAAAGACATACATAATGTATAAGCGTTATATATTTACATATAAAACAACAGTAGCATTAAAGGATTTTATCATGATTTAGCTTTGATTGTAGAAAGGTGCCCTGGAATGTTCTAGAAATGAATATATCGTAGCTGTTTGCAACTATTTAGACTGCTGCAGAGACCAGCAACCTGGTCCTAGGAAAAGATGCAGTTGCTCAAGTTGTGCACAAGTGTGTTCAAAGCCCCTTTCCAGATTTTTCTGAATCACAGTATAGCCCTAATAATTTCTATTAATCTCATGTTTATATTTTCAATGTAACTAATAATAAAATTCCACTTGTTCAACATGAAATAAAGCTTTACATATTGTGTTATACTTCTATTTAAGGATTCAAACATTTTTGGAATGCCACAAAATATTTAGCATTTTAATAGTAAAATATTAACAATCACCAGAGACTAGGAAAAATGTTCAGTATACAAAAATGAAGAATGTTAGTTTTTCAGTGGATTGTCAAATTGTATTTAAATAACTAAATATTTTGCAGTTGAATTACATAGCTTCATGTATATTTATAACATGAAGAACATTGGCTTAAATTTTGATTAAAATTAAGAAGGCTACCTGCATCTTAGCATATTTCATTAATTTAAATGGAAAATATGTGCTACCAGCTTTTTTGCAAGGGGAATGATTGTTTGAAGTGCTATTAAAACATTAAAGTTTATTTCTTTTCTAAATGAAGTGAAAGCGCAATAATTAATCACAGTGGCTAAAATAGAAATTCTAGCACTTTTGATGAATTTTGAATCAGTTATTAGTTTTACTTTCGTTTCTTCTACAAATATTATAGGATTGTGGACCAAATAGTTGCCAGTGACCAGATACATAAATGGATAACATTCTTGCAATCACACCTGCATATAATTATTTAAGAAATTTTATATCACCTAATCAAATAATGTAGATATATTGGGTAAGACTGAAAAGTAAACTAATAGTTTGACCTACAATCTAATTAAAAATGTTCATGAGCCAAAGTTAGCTTAGTCATATTAATATCAATATGATGTAATTAAAATATTCAACTATTCAAATATTCTTGGCCTTTGATTAAGTTACCTCAGCTTGTGTTATCTTAAAATAACATTTATGTTTTATACTCACTACGAATCAAGGACCTAGCTCTGTATTCAGCAGTACCATTTTATGCCACTTTTATGAAGGCTGGATTTGAATGCAGAATATAACTACAGAGAATTTTTTGCTGACTACAATGTGACTAATTTTAAAGAAATCATATATGATTTTCGTTGTTACTTGGCTTTTATGGGAGCCATTCACCAAAAACAGTTTAAGCAACAAATACATTCTCTTGTGTATAAAGATCTCATACTGATATATGATTTATCTTAATTTGAATTTACACCAGGTGCTTTAAGTAATTGATGTTTATATTCTTCTCCTTCACTGCTCCTTTTTTCTTTTATAGAATAAATCTATCTTATCCCCAGAAACTGAGTTCAATTTGAAGATGTCTTTATTTTTGAATTAGAGAAATCCCTGCCCCAAATATTTTGTAATCTAAAACTTGGTCATGTGGAGAGAAAAAAAGTGATAGGCATTGAATGGGGAGTCTAAAACAACAAGATAATGAAAAAAAGATAAATATTTATTCTTTTTATAGACACATGGTTTTATTACAAATCGATGCATACAAATTGATAGTTATGGTTGCTGTATGATCCAGGCAAATTATAGAACTTGATCTGCTTAGCTTGCGCAATGGACTTTGTTCCAGACATGTTATCTGGACCCTCCTCCTCCTCCTTCTCCTCCTCCTCCTCCTCCTCCTCATTTTGGTTTCTCACATGATCAGCCAGATGTTCAGACTGATTTTGGGCATTTTTGTCCATCTATTGATTTTGTCCCAAGGATTTGGGATAGGCAGATGTGAATGTTTGATGGGTGTTAAAGATATTGTTGGAGGATGGTTTTTGGAGTAAAGCTGCCTTTTACAATTGACTGGTGGTGATTTTGTCACTGCCGATGTTGTTCGAGTGTGGCTTCAGTTGTTTTGGAGTTGCACCCACGACCCCTATTACTATTGGTACTACCTCTGCTTTCTTTCGCTGCAATTGCTCTATTTTTATTTGCAGGACTTGTATCTTGTTATATTCCCCAGTTCTTTCTCTTCTCTTCTGCTGTCTCCAGATACTGCCACATACACTATTCAGACGTTTTTGGGGGGCCTTTCTTATTATTTTTCTTAATGAGTATTTACTAAACTTAAATTCCATCTCACCTAGAGGAAATTCGAGAGGTGACTCTGGCAGCTTACAATCAATTAAAAACAATAAGATAAAATATTTAAAACATTAAAACAATAAATATTAATACTAAACTTGAGTTAAAATTAATAAAGATGGGAGGAAAGGGAGCAAGAATGACACAGAGGAAAGGTAGAGTGTTATCTTAGACCATTAATCACCTCTACGATGATGCAACCTCATCGGCACCCCAGACCAGTTGGCAGATCCAGGTCTTTGGTTCCTTTTGGAAGGCCAAAAGCTGTGAATCTTACCTCAGGGGCATGATGTTTTCAGAGGGTGGGAGTCACAGCAGAAAAACTTTTCTTGGACCCTGCCCACCAAAATTCCTTGACTCATGGAATCTGCAGTATGACCTGTCTGCTAGCACAGGTGGGGCCGGCCAGTTGCACGGGGGGGGGGGGGAGACGGCACCTCAGATAACCTGGACCCATGCCATGAAAGACTTTAAAGATAAGAACCAACACCTTGAATTGGATTGGGAAGCAAACTGGCAACCAGTGTAATATCAGCCACCCTAGGGGACCCAAGAACTGTCTGCATGGCTTCATTTTGCATCAGTTGTAGCTTCCAAATATTCTTCAAGGGTAGCCCCTTGTACAGTGCCTTGCTATAGTCCAAGGATGAGATGATCAAGATTTGTGTAACTGAACGCAACTCAGGAAAGAAGCAATTGGTACCCCAGATGAATTGGCACAAAAGCTGTCCTGGCCATGACTGCCACCTGCTCTTTGAGCAGGAGTACAAGTCCAGGTTGAGTACCAGGTCTGTTGAGTACCAGTGCAATCCCATCCAGAACTAGGTGCAAGGAACAAATGACATCACATGCATGTTTGCAAATTATATAGTATCAATACTGTAAACAGTTGAATTATATATCTCTAAATATCAGAGTCTGGGAACCAGGTATATGAGAAGTACTGCTGATGAAATATCTAAGAGAGGAAAGTGATTTTCTCCAATTATTTTTCTGTAATGCTTTCCTTCTCACACATCTGCTTCAAAGTAATGTGGGATCAGTCAGAACAACAAGGAAAGGATTCTTCAGGGTCAGATGTGGGAGGAAAAGAATTTCTGTAACTCATAGGAACATTTAGAGACTCCAGGGGATCTCTAATTAAAGACAACTTTGTTCATGACTAGCTAATCTTAATATTGATTTCATACAGCTTTAGAGCCTTTACTATTCTTTACTATTATTTGTTCTGTTTTTGCCCTTCTCTGGGCATAGATGTGTAGACTGACATGAAGGTAGCAAGAGAGTGGGGAGAGGCAAACCAGTGACTTATACAAAATCACAGAGCTTCACTTCTTGTTATAGAGGCTTATTCATCCAGTCACTTTTCACTCTGTGTGAGTTCACTTTATGTACCTTTATGAACATTCACAGAAAATTGTCCATATATCAATTTCCCCACCAAAACTGAATATCCATAAGGTCTTTTAGTGGCAGCACTAAATCATAAGAATTGAAGAACTAGATGGTTTGAAATTAAGATGGTGTCCAAATATGCTTGTGAATGTGTGACATTCTGTAAAAAGCTGTGCATTGGTAAAATCTTATTAAAGAAATTTAATAATGAAGGGTCCTTGGTGCTCCGTGAGCTTGGTAGCTTTCTTGCAGTTGTCTCATTACTAAATTAGGTAACATCATCAGTATTGATGACACACTGATGATATAATGGAATGTCTTCAAGAAAACAACCAAACTCAACAAGAAAACCACTCAAATATTCCTTATCTAAACTTAGCATTATTATAAAGTTCTATTTTTGTAGGTTTTTTAAAGACTTACTTATTATGGCATTGTTCTATATTATCTTTATTACAGGCTAAGAAAAGATGGAGGGATTTTAACATGTTGAATCATGACTTAGTTTATGACTAAGACCTTTTAACCATGAATTCACCATCCATGAGCCTTTTCAAGAATAACATGGTTGTGCTTGGCAAACAATTACTGCATAACTCTAAATGTAAAACTTGCTTCTAGATTTTGTTTTAAATACATAGCCTTGAACTATATATTTGGGAAAACGTGGGTCCTCTGTTAAACAAGGACATAATCAGTGTTGTTCATAGATTGGCAAATTGTGCAAACTTGGAAAAGTAGATAGTTTGTCATAATAATTTTTCAGTTACTTTATTAAAATTATATCATCATGATCTTCATAATCATAATCATAACCATCATCATCTCATTATCCCATCATCCACTTCAGGTTGAAGGTTTAGACATGCTGTACTGTACTGTTTCCAGCTGAGTTTCATGATCAGCCCAACATTTCATTGGCTGTTTTCTGGATTGTATATAAAATGGGTATTATTTTCTTGAATATTCTAAGTCTGAAAAACTAACAAATGAGAATAAATTAAACCGGAGCACATAAATATTATATGTTTCAATGTGTAGAATAGTATAGTATAGAACAGAATGCATAGAATTATGTCAGTTAACAGAATGTTAGTTGAGTGAAGACTTTATTCATTTAAGATATTGGATTTGTATCCTGGCTATCTATTTATTTAAACACTTGAGGCAGCTTATAAAAGCTGCAACATTAGAGTCAATAAAATTACAATCAATTAGCAGGTAGGTTGGTGAAAGTGGTGGTAAAATGCACCTCTCTAAATTGATACCTGCATAATGGAAAGGGCACTTTTCTAATATGGGAAGTTCTGGCAGCTATGGAAACTTCTTCAGGCCTTCTTCTGATCTAGATAACTGGGTAAGTTCATATCCAGGAAGGCAGCAGTTCAGGTAGAAAAGATTAGACAGACAGACAGACAGATTAATAGAATTGGAAGGGTCTAGTCCACCACCCCATGCCCAAGCAGGAGACTATACCATTTCTACTGTGTAGACTCTACACAGATAGCACCCAGTCTCTTCTTGAAAGCGTCCAGTGATGAAGCTCCCACAATTTCTGAAGGCAAGCTGTTCCATTGGTTGGAAATTAATATAACAGTTTGTTCTTATTGAAATCAATGACAAGCAAAACCATTTATGTATACTTAGATCTCTTGTTTTAGCTCTTCTTACTACATCCACTTACTCTGTAGATGTCCTATAGCAGATGTCCTGATTTATTCCATAGTAGTATTTTTCTGATCCAAATATACATAAACCAATAATTTTAAAAATGTATATTTATTGTTGTGAATGTGTCAATAAGTCAAGTTATATCCCTTGTTTGTGCTGGTGTACATAAATTTATTCAATGTAGGAATAGTCTAAGCTTAAATAAATCACAGAAAAATATTTATCTGAAATATTGTTAATGTTTGGGGTAGTTTTGTGATCAGCCAATGGGACCAGAAGGAAGGAAATCAAAACCAGGTACCTGATTAATGATAACAAGGCAATATCTATCAGGTTGCTCCAAATCTGCAAACTCACAATTGTGTTAGTGTTGCACACATGTACAAAAGAGGCTGCGCTTGTTGTACCTGTCATCTTGCAGATTTTGACCCCCTCTTCATGGATGGCCCTGCTTCCTTTGTCATAATTTTAGATTAATAAATCTAATTCAATAATTTCAGTTGCCTTAGTCTTAATAAAATTAATCATAATTAAGTCCCATGAAGCCAATGACATGGTAATTATTGGTGGTAATAATAATTAGTTGAAATCTGATTAATACCTACAGGATTTAAATGCAGTTTTCTTTCTTTGGATCAAAGGATTTGCAGGAATGGAGGTGTTGGTTGTTGGAATCAAACTATTGTTTATGCTGTATTTGATGTTGGTCCACTTACTAAGTTGTCACTCTTTCAGTTCCTCTTGAAGGGGTAATAATATGTACATTATTCTGACTGTCTAAGCTTTTCTGAATGTTGCCATCCTTCTGAGAATGTGTTCAATACAAGATTCATTTTGTGAATATCATCTCCTTTTTTTAAAACTCTCTTTCAGCAAAATTTTCAGATGTTCACTATAATGCTCTCTGGGATATACCACAGTAACGAACTGGACTAATATGCTTGGACATTCATCATTGTTAATTATGTTGCATAAATAATTTGTTCTCTGTTGTTATTTATATAATTGTAAGTAGGAATTTGTCTATTATGCAGGATTATTCGGACAAAGGTGCAGCAGCCACCTAACCAGCAAGTCCCAGCCTCAAGTCATAGCATAGGTAACGGAAATTTTTGTGTGTGTGTCTGTGTGTGTCTGTGTCTGTGTGTGTGTATTCATTCTAAGGAACTTTTAATCACTCTTATGGCCAGAAAATTCTGCATAAAACAGTTTAGCACACGTACTAATGCACCTTCTTTATCATTCTCCAAGGGTTGAACATGGTAAATGAATTTTATAAATACTGCTAAAAGGTTTTGAATTTTACTGATTATTATGATAAATAGCTTTCACCATGAGACAGAAAATTGAAATCTAAACCAAAAAAAAAAAATCATCCTACTAATGGGGGTCTATAGAATGTCAGATAATTAAAGTAATAAATCAAGAAAAGGATAGTTCTTCATAACATTTTCTGCACCATTAGTCAGTAAGTAGTTTTGAATGTGTTTTTTTCTTCTATCAACCAAGCCTTCCATAATTCTTTGTGCACTTGCAATTTTCAGTGAAGAGGTAGCAAAACTTTGAAAACTTTATTTCTCTCTCTCTCTACCTAATTCAGATGCATACCATCAAATGCTAGTCATTGAAAAGTAATAGACTTTATAGGGTTTTTTCTGGCAGAGTCCCTGACACAGAAATAGAACTGCTTAAAATAAACTCAGCTAATTTGAAGTCACTTATATAATATATTCAAGCCAATATCCTCTTGCTGAACCAAAGAAGAGGAATCAACATACTTCAACTGAACTGAACATTTTAAAAAACAGATTAACATAGATACTTTGATTTTATTATCTTTACAAGAAAAAAAATCCCTCTGTAAAACTTTTGAGAGAAATGATTTTCAGTAAATTTTATTTGGATTAAAAACAAGTTTATTAAGTTGCAGTCATTGTTTTAAATATAAACAGTTTTAAAACAGAATAAAGGGAAATGCACTCCAGAATAATCTCACTGATTTCACTTGAGACTGAATGGATTTAATTCCAGTTATTTCAGCTCAAGATGCAGATGGGTCCATAGAGAAGAAATCTTTAATCTGTATCTATTAATTTGTAGTTGTCCCTCTCACTTCTTTTCAATTTTAGGATCTTTAGTGAATATCATATATTGCACTATTGCAGTGATAGCCCATTCATGCCCTTCAGGTTTCATCTGATCCTGTTGGTTAAGTGTGTTTGGGGGCTGGAATAAGTAGTGCCCAACAGGTGAGGGTATGAATGTGAGCTAAATTGCTGGTTATGGAGTTTATTAGACATATTGTTTTTGTTTGGATGTTTCTTTCAGCTGCCTAAAAGTCACATTGTTCAGGTTAGATAGCCATGCAAATAAGAAATATTTAAAAATTAAATAAATGTGTACTTCCCCACTCCATGGCTTCAGCAGAAAGCATTCTAACCCACCTGATATGTCCTTTCTACCTCCTTTGCTGCACCTCTAAGTCTTCTCTAGAAGGGAAGCTACTGAATGTTATAGGTGATGCTTTTTGTGAATATATTGAGAGGGGAATGAAGCAAGCAGAGAAATCACTTATCCAAGGTTCCTGATTTTGAATCATGTTTGACTTCTGAATTTGTGAAGTCTAATTACATAGAATACATATAACTTCTTAAATAAATTAAATTGGATCTTTATTAGCCATAAAACCAACAATGGATGGCACTGATATGCACTCTGCATACTTAATTCCAATTTCAATGTGTATTTTGCTCCAAGAGTTCTAATGAAATCAAATTAACTCAGTACTGAACCAGGCGAGTTGTATCATTTGGCAGACTGAGATGTCTACTCCAGCAGGAAAGATTTTGGATATTATTGAAGGACAAAAGAATGTTAGTTATTTATGTGTTTTGCTTTTGTTAGAAATGCCATTTGCAGACCAAGAGATTCTGTTATTCACAAGACCCAAAGCATTAATTTACTTTATTCTAAACATAAAATGCAAATGCAGCAACAATTGTTATTTACAACCCTCTTTCTCTTTAGACTGCAAGTGTCCTAGAAGTGGTTTCCTTTGGTCTGTGTTATTCAACATCTAAATTCAAAATTAAGTTTAAATCCCTTGTTATTCTGTTTTATTGTGTGGCCCCAAGCCCTAACTGCACTCCTTTTCAGACTAATTTATTGAGAGACTTTGTCTACACTATCCTGGAAAAGAATTCAATTATAATTATCATTTTTTGTGAGCTAGAAGAGATAATAAGTTAAAAGTGATCTGAAAATCTATAACTTGGATTCATAATTTTACTTAGCCATAACCTCATGATCTGCTTTTAGGCAACAATTTCCCACCTTAACATGGATATATTAACACTATTCTAAGTTAGAAGGTGGTTGTATGATATGATATATGATATGATGCATAGGAAGTATTTTGAACCTTTATAAACTAACTACTACATCATAAATGGTCCAAAATACTAAACTAAGTTTTCCACCATTTGATCCAAGGCCTTCTTTCTCTATTTGATATCATCCAGAAGCAAAATTCCAGAATTTGTAGTCGTTGATAAATTGAATACTTTTGCAGTGCACACATTTATTTACAGTAGGGTTTTTTTTTTGTCACAATATCTAGAGCTGATAGCTGAAATTAGACTGGAAACTGACATTCTAGTGACTGCAAACAGCCTCTTTCCCTCTTCCCTTCCCAAAGAGATGATTGTAAGATATTGAAGCATGCTTACTTTTTATGTTGGTTTGCCTATTGATTCATTTGTTTCTAATTACAGCCTCCACAGGGTCTGTGACGCAGGTGTCTTCGGTAAGCACAGACTCAGCTGGCTCCTCCTACTCGATTAGTGGAATTCTGGGAATTACTTCTCCCAGTGCTGAAAGCAACAAACGCAAAAGAGAGGAAGGTAAAAAAAAAATCACATTCTTATGGTCTATGAAAGTGCATGTTCTAGTCTTTATTGCTCTATTTGATATTTAATTCCCAGATATTTAATACCCAGTATTCACAAGGTAGAGACATGGCATTTTGTGGGTGAGTTAATTTTAATGGATTTTCTTAAAAAACAAACAAACAAGAATGTCTCTGTGTAGACAAAATAATTCATTGGAAAGTTATGAATCAGCATATCCAGATGATTGAACAAGAATAAATCTTTTGAATTATTATTTTATTGTATCAATTTTGAGAATATTATTTTATTCTATTCTGACATCCGTGACTGCTAAAATTTCAAACAAGAGTAGGGTGGAAGAAAGATGAGATTCTAATACTGCCCCCAAATTACAATGTTGGGGGCCATGGACTTTTCAAATAGCAACATTAATTTATGTCCTCATGAAATGACAACATGGTTAAACACCTGTTTCATAATTGTGTTAATATTAGAACTGGGCAGTTTCTCAAATTCTTCTTGCATTATCAGTTTAATTGGGGGAGGGGTTCATGTAAGCATTGTGCTGTTCATTTTTTTATTTTTCAAAATTCAGAGTAATATAAAAATATAATATAAAAAAGTAGTAGAGAAGAAACAATGATTTTTTTTCTGTGTGTGTGGATTTGATTGAATTAGATATGTGAATTATTCAATACAAGTTAATCAATGTTGGCTTCATTCAGAATGTCCTGCCTGAAGCGACCTTTAAAAGACTTTTCCAGAGTATGCTTGTTATACATAAAATTCTCATTAAGCCTTTTATAAAACTAGATCAGTGTGCACTGGTATATAATCTTTAATGAGATTAATTTGTAGTTTGATCAACTGAACTTTGATTAAACTGTGTGAGTCAGTTTTAAAGAAAAAGAACCAATTTTAATCAATGATTCTCTGCATACAAGGAATATTTCTCCATTTTAAAACTACTTTAACTATTATGTCAAAACAACCAGGAGTTTTAAAATTATGAACAATTAGCTTTCTGTCAAGCAATCAGTAGCAGTTTTTATTTATTTAAAATTATTTAGATTTCCTTCAATTATTTAAAATATTCACATGCTTTTAGCCAAATCAAAAGCTTTTATTATGATCATGGAGCAGAAAACTTTTGGCGTCAGTCTCAATACACTAATATGTGTGAAATAGAATATTCTTATTATAACAAAATAAGTAAAAGAAGGGTCTCTCCAATTTTCTACTAATCCAGTAAATTCCTGTAGATGTGAAAGCAATGATACTTATCTATGGTATTAACCTTTTAGTGAGAAGAACAGCAGAGTGGTTGCAATATAAATGTATTTAGATTTCCTTAATGGAGTGCCACCTTCTGCAGTGGAAGTACTTCAGGTGAAAATCTATTCACAAGTGCATCTTCAGGGCTGGGATCCTACCAGTTTGCACCTATTCGCTAGAACCAGTTGTTAACATTCAACCGGAGACTGGTTGTTAGAAGAAATTACTGGCCTAATCCTGTAAGGAAGGCAGGAAGGAAACATTCTGGTGTTGCTTAGAGAAACTGCCTCTCCGTTAATTCTTATTACATTCTTGGCAGGACTAGACTTCCTGTCTCAGGAACTTCGCTGGAGTTTTCCCCCCCTCCTTTGCTGGTACTTTGCTTGTGTGGAGTGACCATTCAAAGTTACAATGGCCCTGAAAAAAGTGACTTATGACCATTGTTCACACTTATGACTGTCACAGCATCCCCACAGTCATGAGAGGCCAGGCGAGGGGATGTGTTCCTCGATGTGAGTGATATTGAGTTGGCCACGCCCAGCCAATATCATGACCACCAAGCCACGTCCACCTAGTCACATGACCACCAAGCCACACCCACCACCTAAGCCATGCCCACAGAACCAGTTGTTAAAAAATTTGAATCCCACCCCTGTGCATCTTCATTCATAAATGACACAGTGAGCATGAATAAGAATTAAATGCTACTGGCAGTAATTATTATTCCAAGGACTTTCAGTCTAAGTAGGTAATCAGTCATCAAGAACTGACCAATCTTAGTCCCTGTGCGAATACATTCTTACCTCAAGTACTCTTGAGGTTACAAACCCCTTTGAATTCTATACTCAGAATTATGTTACATTAATGCTCAGCATTTCTATAGCACTCCACTCCATAACAATACACTTTGCTGAGTGTACTATATACTATGCTAATGTTCTTTGGAGGTATAAGACTGGAGCACTTAGAATTCCTGGGCAGCATTCTGGAACTTCTGAAGACAGAAAACAAATAGCAACTATCTCCTGAATGCTACTGAGTAAATTAATATCTTGAATTGGAATCATAACTTTGATTCATAGCTTACATTCCCATTACACTCTAGATTCTTATCAGTACAAAATTTTACTTAATTAGAAAAAAATATGCACATTTTTCAACTTAGTTCAGTTTGTTTATTCCTGCTGTAGCACAGGAATAACAGATATAGCAGTGATCATTGCATTTCCATTGTCAGCTAAGTATATAGTAGTTTATAGTATAATCAAAGAACAGATCAAAGCATCATTTAGTGAACAAGCATTTACTCCAACATTCATAAACATTCCTCATTAGACATAATTAGATAAAGAAGAGATACCTCTTTCCTTATACCTTCAAGTTTGTCTGGTTTAATATTTCTGTTCAATCTACATTAAAGGACCAATATACTGTAACTGTTATTTCATTTTACAACATTCAATTTTGAGATTGGTCAAATATTTGTTGGTCTATACTTCCTACAGATCATTCTAAGGACTCTGAGGATAACATAAAGAGCTGACAGGCACATTTTCCTCATTTCCTCATCTGAATTGTTTTCTCTATTGCTTTATCTAATATTATATCTTTGGTTTCAGTTTAGTATTTTGCATAAATCAGGTTATTAACATTTATTTATTTATTTATTTTGTTTTATTTATTTTATTTGTCAATTGCTTACAAGATAATAGGTATAAGTAAAAACATAGTTATGAATACATGGATGCATATAAGAAAAAATATATATAAAAGAAACATAATAGATTGTATGATCCCAGTCAATTTAATTTTCCAAGGTACAGTGATTTTCAAATATGGTTAATTGTAACGTGAAAAAACAAATTCCTTGAAAGGGAAAATTTCATTGAAATATTAAACAGGTTGGACTAAATAAACTTTAGTAGCCTTTGCTAAACAGAAAAAAAGCAGTGAAGTCTCCCTTTATTAAGCCTACAATATCTGGGTTTCAAAAAATCCACATGATCAATAGCTGGCAGCAAAGAATTACTTTTCTTTGCTACCACCTAGTGATCATATGGAATTTTGCAGCCCAGATATAGCAGTCCTAAACTCCCCCCCTCAAACTATTTGTCTAGAGCAGTGGTTCTCAACCTTCCTAATGCCGTAACCCTTTAATACAGTTCCTCATGTGTGGTGACCCCCAACCATAAAATTATGGCTCGGTTCCTAAGACCATTGAAAATATGTGTTTTCTTATGGTCTTAGACGACCCCTGTGAAAGGGTTGACTCTTTTAACCCCCAGAAGGGTCGCGACCCACAGGTTGAGAGCCACTGGTCTACAGACTAGTGAGTTATAGGACTTAAACAACCATAATGGCAAGTAGAGTAATGTTGCTAGAGGGGTTCTGGGGAACATCTTTCTGAGCCCTACACAAAGCTCTTCTCCTCTCCATCTACTATTCAGTTCTGGAGGTTTCCTCTGTTAAAGAATAAAAGAAAAATGTAATTCTTTTGTTCCCATTCTGCATAGTCATGGAATGAAATGTTCATTATTTTTTAAAGCACCGATTTCTTTTTTTGTAGAGTTGCAACACTGTCTTTTTTCCTCCTTTCTCTTGAAAAAAACTTTTCAATATTCTTAGAGGCTCTTTTAGAGCTTTTCCTGCAAACTCTTTGCACACTGGGAAATGAAGCATTAGATAGGATTATTTGTAGCTTTATTCCACAATGTAAGATGTTTCTGCAAGAAGTTTCCCATCTCTCTTTTATCCTGTTTGTCTACCAGATTTTTTTTAGAGTTCCTTTTTGTAGGGCTTCAGGAAACCATCATGGTTAACTGGGCACTGGCACTGAACTTTCAGCCTTTCACTAAAAAGCTGGAATCTTTTAAGGTCACTTCCTCACTTCTGGCAGGGACTCTCTGCTGATCTCAGCTTCCTTTGTAAATAGAATAGCAGGTATGGACCAACTTGCAATGAACTCCAGACAGACATAGCAAGTCTGTTCTCTGTATAAATCCTATACTGAAGAACAAAGGATATACAATCGTGATGATGACATAATAAAAGCAGCACAATTGACTTTATTCAAGCGTAGTAACCAGAATGAATAGAAGTATTGGAGAGCAATATGGGAAATATGGGGATAACAGCATGGTTTTATTGGGGACTGAGGGCATGCAATGTAGACCTTAGTCAATGAGAAATGTTTCATTGGGAAACAGAATTTTTATTCTATCTTTATTCATTCAGAGAAACAGTATTATCAAATTAATATTACCCGATTATGGGATATGGAATTGAAAGCTGCTTACAGAATGAGATGAAAGTATATGATAGAAGTAAAACATGTGTGAGAATTAATAGGATGTTTAAGAAATGGTTCAGGATAGATCAGAGAGTAAGACAAAACTCTGTAATGCTCCCTTGGTTGTTCAACATATTTATGAATAAATGTATAAGAAATGCTTATAATGAATTTTTGATGTGCTGGTTGGGGATGTGAATGCATATGTACTTTTCCATGCAGACAATGTGAAACCTAAATGATTTTCAGCAACAATTAGATACAATGTAAAATGTAAAGGGGAAGTTGGATTTGAAAATTAAAGAATCAAAGACCAAGGTAAATATATTTGACAGAGAAATTGAAGTGGACAAATAAAAGTTATATATACCTGGTAAAAAACTAGTCCAAGTAAGTGAATTTGCATACCTTAATAGAACGTCTTTTAAAGATAGGGAAATGATTGGAG